GCAGATGACCTGCAATTCATTGGTCCAATTCAACATTCCACACCAGATGTAACACAGAACCCAGGCACTTCATACCTCAATGTAATAGGTGAACTCCCAGTAATTTTGACTGACAGCTACCAAAATGAAGTTGTTGTTGTACATGATGACTCAGAGGTGTATATTGGACCACAGTCTGAAGATGCTGATGGTGATCCTGCCTCAACACTGTTATGGACAGAAGACTACTCTGAGGAGAATAGTGCAGCCTCCCCGAAGGGGATTGTAAGTATCAAGCACTGCTACACTTTACCTTTGCAAAAGAAAACATGTATTTTATTCAGATAACACTTAAAATTATGAAGAGGTAATTTATATACTGCTTAAACTATTAGTCTGTTGGAATTTGAAAAGCAGCTATTTTGAAAATTCTATATGTTTTGATGTAGACATCACATTTGTTAATGTTCTTAATATGTGTTCTAAAGCGATACTGAACATTGTAAACTACATTGTAAACTAAATTATATGACTGTATTGATGAAACACATAAATACCAATGACTCAACACACCAAGTACAGTACTGGTTAAAATAATCCAGCGCTGATGCTGATGTGGAGTCGACAGTAGTTTGGATATGTCATGATATAGATAAACTCTCAGCTACTGCTGACCCCGCTGTCAGCTTTTTGTCCACCTTCAAAAGTATGCAACTTTGCACCTAAACAGCTCCTTAGGTCAAAAATGCAGGGGTGATGGTGTTGAAACTTCATGGGAATAGCTTGATATATCTATACATTAACACATGACATGCACAAAAAAGTAATAGATTTTGTGAGTAATATTACATGAATGTTTGTATATTTTGAAATGATAACAATGTAGCCCATAATTGCCGGGGGTAGTCATTATTTTATTCAGTTTTCAACTGACTATATGTTATTGTTTGAACAGAAAGATAATGTAATCTGTATTGAGTCTGTGGTTGTTTTTCATTGTAGTGTATAACTAACATTTACACTATGCTAACCCATGCTGCAATTTAACAATAATAGCTGTAATATTACTGTTATTATTTTTATGTTGATATTTTTTGTAAAATTTTACAACTAATGGTTTATACTGTATTATTCAGGTCCCAGAAATGAATGTCCCGTTGGTCAATGGGCCTTCTGCAACTGGAGTTGTTTCACTACCACTCTTTGCAGTAGAGGAATCACAAAGTCTGAAGCTGACTAAATATGTACAAATTCGCCGAATTATGATTGTGGATGATCTTCTGAATGTTTTCATGGACAGAAAAGTGATGAATATGGATTTAAAGATGGAGTTCAACAATGAAATGGCTGTTGACAACAGTGGGGTTTCAAGAGAGGTTTACACAGCTTTCTGGGAGCAGTTTCTGGAACAATGTGAAGGAGAAGAGGAGAGTGCCAAGACTGAGACCTGATTTTTCAGAATCACATTGGGAAGCTCTGGGAAGGATTTGGGCAAAGGGTCTTCTAGATTATGGTGTGATCCCAGTGAGATTGTCAAAAGGCTTTTATTTTGCCCTGTGTCTTTGGTGTTAGCTCAGTAGACAATGCAGTACTCATGTCATCTTTCTATAACTACTTATCTGACAGTGAGCGGTTAATTGTTGAAAAGGCAGTTCAGGGTGCATTGGAAGAAAGTGAAAAAGATGATTTGCTTGATTTGTTTTCAAGAATGGGTTCGTGTAACTTCCATACACAGCAAAACACAAAGGCAGCCATTGAAACAATGGCCCATAAAGCCATACTACAAGAACCCAAATATGTAAGAGACTGTTTTTCTCACAGTCTTACAGATGTGGAGTTGAACCTGCCTCATACAGCAAACATACTCTTATTGTATGAATCCAAAAAAGCAACAAACAAAAAGGTAATTGAATTGTTGCAAACAGAAACTGTGTTTTTGTCACAGAAAGAGCAGAGCTCCATCTGCTGCGCTACATAAGAAATGCAGAGTGTGTCAATAGGAATTGTATCCGAACGGACCTGTTTAGGTGCGACACCGGATGGGGGCTCTTCTTGAGAGTTAGAGACGAGGGATGTAAAGTTTTTTGTACCTGTGAGCCGAGCTACTGAGAAACTGTTATAATAAACGTTGCCCGGTTGGGCCGATATAAAGTTATTCTGCAGTCCTCATTTATAGAAAGGAACGAGACTAAAACATGGTGGCAGCGGTCACGGACTTGACCGGTTGTGGAATTGTCTGATTTAGAGTGTGGACGTCGGACGAAATTACCATTCAGCTAACCAGAGACTAGCATACCACCACACAGAAATGGACGGCCTTAAACCTCCTCCGGCGTTGTGCGTCGACTCCAGTAACCTTGCGAAGTCTTGGAAGTCATGGAAGGAAGAATTTATGCTGTATGCGGACTTGACACTGGACGATGACGACGAAAGGACAAAGGTAAAACTCTTCAGTTATCTCGTTGGGGACGGTGGAAGAGAACTACTCGAAACGCTAATGGGGGACACCCCGAAGAAGGATTGGAAACTTGGGGACATGATTGAGAAATTTGATGCTCATTGCAACCCATGCGTTAACGAGACGGTGGAACGCTATCGGTTTTTCTCAAGAAACCAAGGTTTGAGTGAAACTATAGACAGTTATGTGATGGACCTGAAGGTGTTGGCGAAAACGTGCAACTTTGAAACTTTGCGAGACTCGCTGATTCGCGATCGGATCGTGTGCGGGCACAACAACAACAGCATGAGGGAGCGATTGCTCCGTGAGAAGAACATGACACTGGACACCTGCATCCAGCTGTGCAGAGCCGCGGAGCTGTCGCAGGCGAATGTTAAAACTATCACCGGGTCGGCAGTGGAGGAAATACATGTGGTACAGAGACCAGGCCACCACAAATGGACAATAACGAAAGTGGACTGCAAATTCTGCGGGAAAATACATGAGAAAAGCAAACACAAATGCCCAGCATACGGTAAGAAGTGCAAGTAGTGTGGCAGAGACAATCACT